CAATACCGGAGCGAAGATCCCCACGGCGCACTGAGGGGTTCTGCTGCAGCCCTCCGTGCGCTGCAGGGTCGGACTTGACGCCCCAGCAAACAGAGGGGCAGGCCAGGCCTCGGGCGGGCCAGGGTGGCTCCCAGCCCCCCCGGGGAGTGCTGCTTCTCTCGGCATCTCTCCTTTCACAAGTGTAGCTTCTGGAGTCGGCCTGCATGGCGGGGGGAGCCCAGGGGCTGTCCAGCATGGTGCCCCGGAAGAGCATGAGATCCTGGCAGCAGTGCCAGGCAGCTAGGGCCGGAGCGGGGGCTCGGCGGGGCCTGCGCCGTGAAGCTGTGGAGGTTTGCAATGCGAGGCCTGCCCCTCACTGATGTGGCCGGGGCCCAGCTCGGTGCCTTGAGGTACACGGGCCCACGCAGCTGCCCCCCCCCGGCAGGGGGCTGCCCATGGACGCAGGTCCTGGTGCAGCTCGGTGGCAGATCTGGCTCCATCCAGCCGTGCCTGATGCCTGCACGCCCCACGGCGTGTGCACCCGGGACGCACAGGGGCACTGAGCTCCCTCTGGCCTTGGCTCAGGCCCCCCTCCCCCATTCCTCTCCTGCAGGCTGGTGCCCGCCAGCGAGGGCTGTGTTGGGGGGGGGGTGGGAAGACACACAGGGGTCACTGCCGGCCCAAGGGAAGGACACTGGCCTAGGGGACAGTCCAGCTACACCGCCGGGGAGGGTAGGCAGCTGGGAGCGGCTGTCTCTCTTGCACACGCCCCCACAGAGCGGGTGGCTGCAGCCAGGGGCAGGGAGGCAGCCCCCCCAGTACCAGCCAGCCTCCTGTGAGTGCTGGGGGCTGGGTCAGCCGGCGGGGTCCCTGCGAGCAAGTGGGGGCTGAGCGCTCTGCCCTCGGCCGCTGGCCTGCTCTTGGGCCACGCAGGGGCGAGCCAGCCGTCTCGTGTCTGGCCAGGCCAGGGTGCCGGTACCCCATAGCGTCTCTGGGCCTCCGGCCCCACCTGCTCAGTGGGCATGACAGCCCTCCCCTGCCCCACAGTGTTCAAAGGGGAAATAGGGTAACCGTGGTGAGGCCTGATAATTCCCTGCTAGCTGGGGCTCTCCTGCGCCCTGCCCTGGCGAGTGGGGGGCACTGGGGGGTGCTGAGCCTGCTGCCGATAGGTGTGGGATGTGACCCTCCTAGCCCCGCTGCTCCACTGTCCCTGACCCGGGTGCATATTGCCCCCCAGGGATCCTGCCGCAAAGCTGGGAGCTCCCCGCGCTGGTCCCCATTTGGGGGCTGCCTGGGAGGCTCCCTAGCCATTGCTCCAGGCTCTGGGCCAGCAGCTGGCAGGGCTCCCCCAAGGGCCTGGCCTGGCTTGGGAGAGCTGTAAGCGGGGTCGTGGAGAGCGAGGGGACAGGGCAGAGACCAGGCTGTTCGCTGAGTCCCAGGGGAGGGAGCAGGGCCCCGGAGCTGATGATTTCCAGGTTCTTTGCTGCTCTGGGGGGACGTTGGCTCCCTATGGTGGTGAGTCGGGCCTGGCCTGCCCCCCTTCCCCCTGCTCGGGCAGGCCAGGCGCCACTTGTGTGCTGACAAAGGGAACAGCTGCAGCGGCCGAGGGGCTGGAATGTGGCTGGGCAGCAGGTGTGGGGGGAGAGGCCGGACGTCCCGGAAGTGGCGTTGGTTTGGGGCTGGCCCCTCTCCAGCCTTGCACCTGTCCCGGGGCTCACGTCTCTCACCTGCAGCGCGGGGGGTGCACGCACGAGGACGCAGTTGGCAGTACGGCCTAGGCACGATGCAGAGAGCGCTGCACCCGGAGCCCTGGCAGCTCCGAGTAGGGCCCCACTGCCCGGGAGGGTGAGATGCGGCACATCAGACCTTCTCCGGGACACTTCCAGAGCACCCCGCTGGCAGGGGGCAGGCGGACCGTGCCCAGCCCACAGCTGTGTGAGCCTTCCTGGAGATGCAAGGACAAGCTGGCCCCTTCCTCTGCAGGGCGGGGGGCTGCTCGCTCGCCAGGATGACCTGGGTCGAGCTCACACAAACGTTTCCCTGCCATGCGGGGGCCCTGGCGCACCTGGGTCCCCCCTGTTCTCTGCCTGGGGCATGTGCTGCTCTAGGCTCCTGGGGTCTGGCCTTGGACTCCCTGATTCTCCAGTGCGGCGGGGGCCTCGGAGTGATCACATGGGAGCGCCACCTCCCTCAGAGTGACATGAGCCTCGGCCCGTTGCTTATCCATCCCCGGTTGCTCCAACCAGTCCCAGCTGGCCACGCGGGATGGTGACGTGCAGCATGTGGCCAGTGGGCTAAGGCGCCCCGCCAGGGCAGAGCAGCAAGTGTAGGGCACGGGGGGCTGCTCTAACTCGAGCTGATCTGCTCTGGGCCCCGAGGGGGTCGCTGGAGTGCAGCACATGCCAGCCCCGGGGCCTGCAGCGGGGGGCCGCTCCCTGTGAAGGTGACGGGAGGAGCGTGGGCTGTGAAGGGAAGGGTTTGGAGGTGGCCGGAAGTCGAGCTGCATGCACGGGGCTGGAATGCTAGCCACAGCCTTCTCTCCGCAAAGCAGGGAACCGGCCCCGAAGGGCCCCTCGTGGCCCCCAACCGCTCTTTGGAAATAAATGTGCTTGGCCCCTGGATCCCCCCGCCCACGAGGGCTGGGAACCACTGACCTGAGCCCAGCTGGGGTCCCTGCAGGCCTGGATCCCCCTCGCAGCCCCTGGAGTGGGCAGCAGGGGATTGTCAGGGGCATGAGGCTGCCCAGGCCAGCAGGCACAGCCCTGCCCCAGGCTAGGTGGGGCAGCAATGGAGGAGGGACACCTGGGCTCGCCAGCCCCAATGGGTCAATATCCTGAGGCCAGCCCCTGCCCCTCCAACACCATGAGACTTGGGATGCTAAAGGCTGAGTGCTGTGTGTACGCGCGTGCTCGCTCGCAGGGGGTGGGGCGCTGGCGGCTCCGGGTGTACTACAGCCCTCGGTTAATAGGGCGCAAGTCAGCTGACCCACGTCGGGGAGTCCTGGGCTAGAGCGTCTGCCCTGCATTTGAACCCAGGTTTAGGATTTTCTGGCCTGTGCTTGAGCTTAGACACTGCCCCAGGACTGCGGGGCTGCTCGGCTGCCCACCCTGCCCCCTGCCCGTGGGCGCTGTTGGTGGCACTCCGGTGCTGAGCTGCTTTGGGGGCTGTCACAGCAGCAGGACTGCGCTCTGAGGCGCGCTGGGCCGGGCACGCTGGCGGGACCGTGCCCGGGGGCCCGTGTAGAGGATAACTAGGACATGAGTCTCCAGGGCTGTCCAACTATTCAAATGAAACTTGGCAATTCTGAGTGTTTTGAAATGGAGGGGGGAAGGGGGATTGGTGGGCTGGTGGGTTTTTTTTTTCCTCTTCCTCTTTGGCCGTTTGTTTTGAAGTTTAGTTTCAGAGAGAAAACACGCCCCCTCCCTTCTTCCCCCCCCCCCCAGCTTGGCTGCTGCAGACACACAGGGGTAGGGGGGATCCCTGGAAGGCGGTGGGGAGTTTGGGGGCTGCCCTGGCAGAGAGCAGAGTGGGGACCAAGCAGCTGCCCTGCGGGGGAGGTTGGGGACTCTGGAGGGGTGGGGGCACTGTGGGAGCGGGCAGAGGGGAGGCCCCCCCAGGTGGTGTGAGTTGTGGGCAGTGCTGACAGTGCACGCCCATGGGTACGGTGCCCAGGGTGCACTGCTGTTGGTGACTGTATCAGGCAGTGGGGACGGCCCGCCCGGCCGACTGCTATTGAATCGCTGGCTAATCCCCCTGGGAGCATCATCGGCTAAGTGGCTGGGGTCACCCGCTCTTGTCCTCCCAGTGAGGGGCTGGGGCCGGTGACTCGCCCCCGCTCCCAGCCCCTGCGCGGGGGGACAGGAGACTGCCACTGAGATAATGGAAAGTGGATTTGCCTGGCTCTGCTCCGTTATCACATGCTCGTTCTAATTCCGACTGCAGGGAATCTCAGTGCCCCGGCTAGCGGGGATCTGCCACCCAGCCCTCCCCTCCCCTGGGGGAGACGGGCAGGGCGCTCTGGATTGGCTGGGCCTGTCCAAAATGGGCTGCCTTCCCTTTTTTAGCCGTTCGGCAGGCTGTGAATTCCTGCTCTTGGCAGCGCGACAGGCCGGCCGCAGCACGTGGGCGCTCTGGGCCCGCCAGTCTGCACTGGCTGTGCGGTGCTCTGAACACGAGCTCCGTAACCCTCGGCAGCTGGGGGGGGCTGTGATCCCCAGGGAGGCTGGTGCCCTGGGGCTCTGCCGCTGGCGTGGGGCTCCTTGCTCCTCTGTGACCCTCGCTGGAGCTGCCTGGGGGCCATGGCAGACACAGGATCTCTTTCTGCCCAGCGTGGGCCCCTGTCAGATCTGGCTAATTTCCGTCCCCGTCTTTGGTGCAGCTGATCTCCAGGCTCCTTTGCCTCCTGCACGGGGCTGGTTCCCTGTCGGTCCCTTGCACTGAGTGGTCACGCGTCTCTGGAACGAGAGCAGGACAGTTGGGGTTTCCTTTGAGTGTAGTTTGGCTGGTGATTGATTCCCTCTTTGCAGGCCGGCTGCTAATTACTCCGCCATAGAACAAAGCCGGGTGTGGGGAGGGGAGAACCCTGTGCATGCTGCAGTGGGGTGTGCCCAGAGCAGTGGGGTGTGCCTCGGGGGTGTGCCCGGAGCCCCCGGGTGTGCCCAGAGCAGTGGAGTGTGCCTCGGGGGTGTGCCCGGGGGTGTGCTGCAGCGAGGTGTGCCCGGAGCCCCGGGGTGTGCCCGGGGGTGTGCGGCAGCGAGGGGTGCCCGGAGCCCCGGGGTGTGCCAGCATAGTGTGGATTTTTGCTCCGTGTGTTTCAGGGAGTTTGGTTCTCACATGGTCCTGGCCTTGGCTCTTAGCAGCTTCTGTTGCCTGCTAGCCTGTGTAGCCCCTCACCCAGGGGGTTGGCAGAGCCCTGAGGTCTGGTTGGGGGTGGGGCGCGGACG